CCCCAAAACCCCAAAACCCCATAGCGCCAAATTTATAATTAGTTTTGAAGAAATAAGGTAGAGAGTTGAAATTTAAATCCAATAAACAAAGGATCTGTTTTCAATAAATGAATCAATCAGTTTTCTTTGATTACTCTTGCACTAATGAGTAATGATTCACATTTTCTACTCACTGACTAGTCTTTGCAAGTAGAGCTTCCTTTTTGGGGTTATCATCGTTTTCATTCTTCTTAGCAGCTCCAATTTTAGCAAAGAAGTCATTTTCCTCTGAGCCACTCTCGTTGAAGTTATACATGAATCTACCCATCTCAGTTGGTGGGATGAACTTAAGTCCAATGCTGACAAAGATAGAGCCAAGACCGAAGCAGAAGCAGGTGAGGTGTTAGTCCCATTCGAGTGGGGTAGTTCTGAAGATCTGGCCGCCGAATTGAACAATGAGGTACTAGAAACCAAATTCGAGGAAAACTACAAGAAGGAACTTGAAGTTGTTGAAGAATCCAGCGAAGATGTTGAGATCTTTCCAGCCGAGTTTTCTGCTGTTGAATTGGTTGAAGAGGTTCATAAGAACGAAAGTGTGGAAGATCATGGTGTAATGTTGGAGCTTGTATAGTCTTGCTTAAATGTTCTTGGCATCTGCACCTGGCTTTGAGCCGTAGAAGTCAATATTTGAGTTATCAACGAGGTTGTAACCCTTTCCGAACCACCAGGGAACGGTATAGAGCATAATGATGAGGATAACGAGTTGATAGGTGCAGTGTCCAACGATGTTTCTCCACATGGCAGGTGAGATAATCTTCTCACCTTTCTTTTGTCTCTCAAGTTTAATTTCTTCTGGGTGGGGTGGTTCAGTTGCAAGGGAAATAGCAGCAAGAGTGTCCATGATCATATTGATCCAAAGAAGTTGAGTAACGCTGAAAGTTGGATTTCCAAGGGTAGTACCTCCAAGGAAAACAATGATGATGCACACAACGTTGACTGAAAGTTGGAATTGAATGAACTTTCTGATGTTGTCTAGGATGTTTCTTCCCCATTAAACAGCCTTGAAGACTGAGTTGAAGTTGTCATCAAGAATAATAACATCTGAGGCATCCTTGGCAACTTCACATCCTGAGATTCCCATACAGAAACCAACATTAGCAGCTGCAAGTGCCTTGGCATCATTAATACCGTCAGCAGTAACGGCAATTTGGAGCTTTAATTCTTTAAGTCCTCCAATGAAAGCTAATTTATGCTCTGGAGTAGCTCTGGCTAGAACTAAAAGTTTTTGGGCAACCTTCTTGAACTCATTCATGTCAGCTGGAATCCATTCTTCGACTCCGTTTCTCTTAACTCTCTTAATACCATCGATCTTCTTGAAGAAGTCCTCACCTAGCATACATGTGTTATCTCTCTTAATTTCAACTTCTTATATGATACCAGCCTTAAGAGCTGCTGCGATAGCAGTGTGGATGTTATCTCCTGATAGCATTCTAGTGGTAATTCTTCCCTTTTCTAGCTTTTCAATTGACTCTTTCACTCCTTCTCTTAACTCGTCATTAAGACCGAAAGCAGCGACTAATGTTAAATCAGATTCAATGATATATCTGTCTGATTCATTTGCAAAGTTGTTATTTTGAAGCTGTAATTATTCCCAATAGTCACTGTCCATATCTTTGTAGGCATAGAGGATAGTTCTGAGACCGAACTTAGCCATCTTCTCAATAATTTCTCCTTCAAGGATTTGAGTTCTCTAATCCTCATCAAGTGGTCTTACATCGCTGTCAGTTTGCATGATTTTGGTACAATGTTTAATAACATATTCTGGAGCACCCTTAACGACAACTCTGACATAGTCACATCCCTTATAAGGTCTGATAACTTCAACTTGTCTCTTTCTAATTGGGCCAAATGGAATAGAGCATTCATGCTCTCCATCTCTATGCTTTGCAATCATTCTGTCATGGATAGGTACATTGTTTTATTGTAAGAATCTGAGCATACCGACCTCAGTTCCGTTACCCTCAGGGGTGTATTTGGCATCAATGCTCATTTCAACTCTAGAGTCGCAGTTAAGAATGATGCAATCCTCGATAATGTTGACAGCATTTTCATCTATGCCTGAGCTATGGAGTGAAGAATCAATACTCTCAATATGCTTTCCACCAACATAATATCTGTTTACATTCATGTCATTCTTGGTGAGTGTGGCAGTTTTACCAGTACATATTTGTTGAACTTGCCCGAGAATTTCTGGGGCTTCAAGGTTCTTAACCAACAAGTTGTCTCTCTTCATTGTGTCCACTGAGAAGGCCATAGCAATTGACACTGCAAGTGGAAGTCCCTCTGGAACTGCAACAATAACGATTGAAACACCAATAGTGAAATATCTGAGGAGGGTTTGAAGAGTATTTGTAGAGAGTAGGACATCGTCTGTGAACATAATCTAGCAGATTAAGAACAAGGTCATTGTGAAGACGGTCAAAGCAGCAGCAACGTATCCGAACTTTCCAATGTAACCAGCAAGCTTTTCTAATCTTTCTTGGAGTGGAGTGAGTTTATCTTCCCCAGAAATCTTATCAGCCTCGAACTCTTTACTGAATCTGGTGTGCTTGCCAATAGCGCACACAACAGCTCTTCCTGAGCCAGTCATAATTAGTGAGTTAGCAAGGAGGAATGGATCTGGATTATCTCTGTGGTGTTCTTCTCCCTTTGAAACTTCCTTTTTGTTGACTAGTTCTCTGCCTTCATTATAAATGGTCTCATCAGCGGTAATATCTTGACCCTCAATGAGTGTGCAATCAGCTGGAACTCTCATTCCAGTTTCAACATGAATAATATCACCGACAACAAGGTCTTGAATATTGCATGGTTGAGATAGACCGTATTGGCCTCTGACAACGGAAACTTCTTGCTTTTTGATTTCTTCGTGAAGCTTCAAAAATTGTCTCTCTTTCAAAAGATCGCATGATGAGGTAAAAATGGCGATGAATGCAACAGCGACATAGATAGATGCACCCTCAACCCATTGATAGTCTTTTTCGGAGAATAACCCAATAAGCAAGGTAAGAGTAGCAGCGACAAGCAGTACTCTAAGAGTTTAGTCCTCGAACTAATTTAGAAGCAACCTCCAGAATGGTTTCACTTCTGGATGTTTTCTATCATTCTTTCCAAAGCTATAAGATTGTGTTTAGATTTAAATTATATAATACAAAGTTTATCTGCGCTTGATATCTTTCTCATCTCCGATAATGCCAGTCTAATGATTCAAGTTTAGTGAATGATTGAAATATGAGTGACTTACAAGTGCCTCAGTGCTGAGACTCTTTAGTAGACCATCGTAAAGGCCGACTTTCTCAAGGATAATCAAACTTTCTCTCTTCTCTCCCTAGTTTAGTGGGACTTCAAGATGCTCTTTGAGGAACAATAAACTATGTGACGTATTTATTAAGCAATGTATGGGAATTGTGAGTGAAGGAATGAGTGTTTGGGGATGATGCTTACCTTAGTTCCTCAGGTCTTAGTCTGTAGATGTGAGCTACTGATAGTTCAGTTGCCTTGTGATATTGCTGTATAAGAGGCATTGTTAGCTGCTCTTTTCTATTGTTTGCCATACCAAATCTTTTCAATATATTTGTTAATAAACTTAATCATTCATGTTAATATATATCATTCACTAATCTATTTTTCCCAGTTCAAAAATGAATACCTCTCTTTATTATTCTTCTATTAATTTGTTCAATTCAAGAATCTGATCGTAGCGGGGTTTTGGGGTTTTGGGGTTTTGGGGTTTTGGGG